ACATCCTTAATTCCCAAACCAGAAAAATATACAAAAAAAAAAAACCAGTTTAGTAACACTGATAGCATAGACACCAAAATCCTCAACAAAATAGTTAATTAAATCTAATAAGACATTAGATCAAATTGGATTTATTTCTGGAATGCAGACATGCTTCAACAGATGCAAATTAATAAATGTGATACACTCTAGCAAACTGAATAAAAATCATATGACTATCTCAACAGATGAAAAAAAAAACACCTGATACAACACTATCCTTTCATGAAAAAAACCTTGTGCAAGTGTGTATAGAAAGAATATTCCTTAACACAATCAAGGCATCCAGGCAGCAATACTGAATGTAGCATTAGAGAAAAGCAAATAAAAACCACAATGAGGTTTCATCTCACTTGAGCCAGAATGGATATCCCACTGAAATGAGAAAACAATAAATGCTGAACAACATGTGGGGAAAAAGGTATCCTAACCCACCCCTGACAGGAATATAAACTTTGTACAACCATACAGTATGGAGATTTCTCAGAAACCCGAAAATGTAGGTACTATATGACCCAGCCAATCTATTCCTGGGAATTTACCAAAGGAAATGAAATCAGCATATGACAGTTCACTGTAAGCGCACGTTTATGGCAACTCAACTGACAACAGTTCAGATATGGAATAAACCCAGAAGTCCTAATGACTGGATAGAGCATGTCTGGCATACATACATGATGGAATACTACTCAGCCATAGAAAGAATGAAATCTTGTGTTTTTCAAGAAACCATTTTACAACTGGTAACCTTATGCTCAATGAAATAAGCCAGTCTCAGAAAAACAAGTATCATGTTTTCCCTGATCTGTGGTAATACACACAGTACAAAAACCAAAAAGTATGTGAGTGAAAATGACATTCTGAAATTTGATTTTTATAGCCTTTATATATACTGCTGAGGAACAATTTTTTTGTACTTGTTATCTGTTGAATTCTTCATCTGTAGCGTTAAGCCTGTGATTATGAAATGAACTGAAAGTATGTCATTGTAAAAAAAAATCTTTTGGGGCCCGGCGGGGTGGCACAGTGGTTAAGGTCCTCACCTTGCACGCCCAGGATCCCATATGGGCGCTGGTTCTAATCCCGGCAGCCCCACTTCCCATCCAGCTCCCTGCCTGTGGCCCAGGAAAGCAGTCGAGGATGGCCCAAAGCTTTGGGACCCTGCACCCGCGTGGGAGACCCGGAAGAGTCTCCTGGCTTCGGATTGGCATAGTATCGGCCGTTGTGTCTCTCCTCTCTGTATATCCGCCTTTCCAATAAAAAAAATAATAAAAATAAATCTTAAAAAAAATTTTTTTTGAAGAGGGGGTTGGTATTGTGGCACAGCAGATAAAGCCATCACAACAGTAGCACTGGCATCCCACATGGGTGCAGGCTCATGTCCCACTTCTCATCTGTTCTACTTAAAATCCAGCTCCTTGATAATGTGCCTGGAAAATCAGCAGAGGATAGCTCAAGAATTTGGATCCCTGCACCCATGTGGGAGACCTGGGAGAAGCTCCTGGCTCCTCACTTTGGATAAGCTCAGCTCTGGTCATCATGGCCATTTGGGAAGTGAACCAGCACACGCAAGATCTGTCTTTCCTTCTTTCCTGTAACTCTGCGCTTCAAATAAATAAATCTTAGGGGGAAAAAGAAGAAATAAAGGAGGAGGAGAGTGAGAAGGAGGGAAAGACAACTGAATGGAGAGCATGACTATGTTCCTAAATCTGTACTTTGAAAAACATGAGATTTGTTCAGTTTATATAAATAATAAAAAAGAGATATAAGCCCCTGAAAAAGTACATTTCAATGTGAAAGATACAGGGCACCGAATTATTTATTAAAAATACTTATATGTCCCAGCAGAAATTAAAAATAAAATCTTGGAGATAATGGAGTCAAATATTAAAGTATCAGTTAAAACTAATGTACTTTAGCTGCTAGGCTACTGTGCCAGGCCCAGACCCTCATTAATGTTTTGAACTGGTTAGCTGGGACAAGCACTTGACATAGTGGTTGAGCCATTACCATGCACTCCATAGGTTCAAGTTCCAGCTCCACTTTCTATACCAGCTTTCTACTAATGTGCACCCTGTAGGGTAGCAGGTGATGACCCAAGAACTTGGGTTCCTGTCACCTTGTGGGAGATCTGCTTTGAGTTCTCAGCTGCTTGCTGTGGCCTGGCCCAGCCCTGGCTGCTGTGGACATCTGGGGAGCAAGCCAGCAGAATGAAGATCCATCTCTTTCTCTCCCTGTCTGTATCTCTCTATCTCTGCTTTTCAAATAAATAAAAAACTTAAAAAAAAAAATCCCAAAATGATTAGCTGACTGAAATAATACCATTTATACCATAAAGCATACTATTCCCATAGGTTCAAGATGCAGGTTTTTTTTAAAGATTTATTGATTTATTTATTTTATTAGAAAGGCAGATGCACAGAGAGTGGGAGAGACAGAGAGGAAGATCTTCCGTCCGATAATTCACTCCCCAAGTGGCTGCAATGGCCAGTGATATGGTGATCCGAAGCCAGGAGCCTGGAATTTCTTTCTGGGTCTCCCACGCGGGTGCAGGGTCCCAAAACTTTGAGCCGTCCTCGACTGTTTTCCCAGGCCACTAGCAGGGAGCTGGATGGGAAGTGGAACTGCCGGGATTAAACTGGCACCCATATGAGATCCTGGTGTGTTCAAGGTGAGGACCTTAACCATTATGCTATTGTGATGGGCCCTGAGATACAGTTTTTCCTATATGGCAAACTACACTAATTAGGCCTCTTGGAGGCTTTTTATTTTCTTTCATATATGCTGATCTTCCTGCATGAGTAATTATGGACTTTAATTATTCAAAGTTTCTCAACAACTTAAAAAAAAATAGTTGGAGAGATAGATATAGAGCTTTAATCTGCTGATTTGCCTGCACTGGGATCCCAGATGAGCAGGGGTTCTAATCCCAGCGGCCCCACTTCCCATCCAGCTCCTTGTTTGTGGCCCTGGGAAAGCAGTTGAGGATGGTTGAAAAGCCTTGGGACGCTGCACCTGCTCAGGAGTCCCTGAATAGGCTCTGGGCTCCTGGCTTTCGATCGGCAAGGCTCTGGCCATTGTGACCACTTGGGGAGTGAATCATTGGATAGAATATCTTCCTCTCTGTCTCTTCTCTCTGTGTATCAGACTTTCCAATAAAAATTAAAGAAATCTTAAACAAAACAAAACCTTTAGGGTCTGGTGCTGTGGCATAGCACGCAGAACCTCTGTCTGCTTTACTGGCATCCCACATGGGTGCTCATCAAGTCCATGCTGCTTCACTTCCAATATAGCCCCCTGCTGATAGCCTGAAAAAGCAGCAGAAGGTGGCTCAAGTTCTTGGGCCCCTGTATCCACATGGGAGGCCTTAAAGAAGCTCCTGGCTCCTGGCTTTGCCCTGGAGAAAACGGGGTGAGAAACAGGAAAGGAGAAAAAAGCCTCCGAGGCAGTCACTGGGGTGTTGATTTCTGAACCCCATGAAGAATATCAAGTGGTTGTGACCCTGGGGCACAATGAACTTGACGCTCTCTGTCCCCTTCCTGGGATGGAACCACTGAATCGTTGGCATGTCCTGAATCACTGACTCTCCTCATGTTCAGGAGGCCCTCACATCCCTCCTGGGTGCCCTTGATGCTGAGAGAGGGCTCAGACAGGGAGTGGTCACTGGGGAGGCCAATGCTGTGACCGAAGGCCTGGGGCTCTGTGCAGCCCACCCTCCATCAGGGTGGAGTCTAGAGCTGGAGTTCAGTGAGATGGACATGGGTCCTTCGCTCAGACTGAATGCAAAGAACTGGTGGCACCGCCTTGTTGGCGAACACAAATCTATGTGCCAGGCAGGTGACATAGCCAACTCTAGTGTGAGAGACCATAAGAGCTCTGCTTGCCACCCTCCCTGACCTTCCCCTACTGTGTCTTCAGTGGGCTGGTCTTCTTGCTCTTTCTCTTCATGATGAAACTATCATCAAAAGTACACATGCCCCAGAGGTAGGAGATCTGGAAGGGCTCTGGTTGCCTGGCCCTGGTCTCCTGGCCCGTCTGTGTGGTGGGTACCGGGTTCGTGAGCTCTAGGGGTGGAGGATCCAGCAAGTTAAAAAGGTGGAGCAGTGGGGCCCGGCGCGGTGGCGCAAGTGGTTAAGTCCTCGCCTTGCACGCCCAGGATCCCATATGGGCGCCGGTTCTATCCCGGCAGCCCCGCTTCCCTTCCAGCTCCCTGCCTGTGGCCTGGGAAAGCAGTTGAGGATGACCCAAAGCTTTGGGACCCTGCACCCGCGTGGGAGACCCGGAAGAGGCTCCTGGCTTCGGATCAGCATAGTATCGGCCCGTTGCGCTCACTTGGGGAGTGAATCATCGGACGGAAGATCTTCCTCTCTGTCTCTCCTCTCTGTATATCCGCCTTTCCAATGAAAAAATAATAAAAATAAATCTAAAAAAAAAAAGGTGGAGCAGTGAACGCAGACCCTGATGCACATGGAGAATATAGCAGCCTGTTTGGTATCATAACAGAGGAAGAACAGAGTAAATTGGACAACTATTCCAGCAAATGATGACAGCAAAACTCTGGGTGAATGCGGATTTGAGGTTGACTATGGCAGCCAATGGACACCTGGAAGGTTGTTTCACCCTCAAATCGGGCAAAATCAACAGCATTTCAGAACTATCCAAACCACCTGTTTGGAACCCTTGGAATATGCCGGGGACCTGGGTTGATACAGTATGGCGGTTCTCTACCCCTGGGTACTGGGATATTTAGGAGGCTGGGCATGGCTTCCCCCTTTGTCTCTCTCCTTCCCCCGAGAGTTAAGAAGAAAATTTGGAAATAATGATTCACCCATTTTCCTCTAACCTTAAATCCTTCCCACCCTAATCAAACAGGTAATCATCAAAAATAAAAATTAGAAAAAAAAAACTAATGTACTGAGTAAAATGATGTATTAGAATCTTGAGACAAGATTTCTACATACCACATCATCTTTGTTTTCATTCTTAAATGATGCTTCAGTCTCCATAGGAGCATCACTGTGATCTCCTTCCAAGTTCTGTTTTTCAATGACAGATGCACTAGCCACACTGAAGATTCCATGGATGTTGACACGAACTTTAACTTTTACTTTGGAACTATCACCATCAGACTGCGGATAAACATTCTGAATAGTGAAGCTCCCTTAAGGAAAAAAGAGCTTGAATCAGTACATGAGCCTCATATATTAACTCATGCAATTTACTTATTCATTAATCTGCCATATTTAAGAGGTGGGCAAACAATGCAAATTTATAATCATATCCTTATAGATATGTTACTTCTCACAAATTATCTTAAGATAAAAAAAAAAAAACTTAGTATGAGACTCAGAAAAGTTAAACTTACCCCAAATCATCAATAGTAGTTAAAACACGAGTTGGAATTTTAACCAAGGACTGCTAGATAACTAAATTTTTTTAAAAAGTGCTATTGTAAATCCAAGTAGCCAAGTGACAAAGTACAATTTCTAAGCTTGAAAATACAACAGATACATTTCTTCTGTGACCTACCTCTACATATAGTAACCATCTCAGTAATTCATAAATAGAGCCATTTAAAAACTTCTGGAAATTTTCCTATAACAAGTTAATGATAGCAACAGTAGAGAAGACCAGGCAAAAAAAGTAGTCAGTAAAAACTTGGTTGATCTATTTGTGGGTTGAAGTGGCTCCCTCCGCTGTTCACATTGCCAAATCTTAACCTTCCCAAAGCCTTATAACTGACTATATTTGGACGTTAGGTCTTTAAAGAGGTTTTAAAGAGGCAATTATGTGGGGATGAGTTCTTTAGGGTGAGCCCTTTTACAAAACTAGTGGTGTCCTCATTGAAAGGTAGAATCTGGAAATGAGACACCCATATGTGACAGAATGTCATGTGAACATAAAGGAGGTCATCTCTAAGCTCAAAGACAGGCATGGAGCAGGTTCTTCCCCTCTACAGCCCTCAGGAGGAACCACATGTGCCAACACTTCTGGCTTCCAGAACTTAGACAATACATTTCCATTGTGTAAGTTCCATAGTTTCCATAGTTTGCAGCACTTTCTTATAGCAACCTTAGAAAAATAATAAAACCTTTAATAATTTTTCCTGCTTTAAATAATGTACTTGAAATATTCATGTTATACCTACTTTCTATATTAGTATAGATAATTTTAAAACTTAATAGTTCTTCTTAAATGATATTATATTGATTGAAGAATCATTTGTACTCCCATGCTTATTGCAGCTTAATTCATAACAGTTAAGATACAGAATTAACCCAGATGTCCATCAATAGATGACTAGCTAAAGAAAATGTAGAACAGATACACTATGGAATATTACTCAGCCATAAAAGAAGGAACCCTGGCTTTTGCAACAAAATGGGTATAAATGGAAACCACTATGCATAGTGAAGCTACTTCAAAAAGACAAATATGTTTTCTCTGATATAAAACATAAAATGTATGGAATAAAATGGTCACTTTGAGGCCAGCTATAGGCAACTGCCTAGGTTGCACTGTGCCTAGGAAAGTGTTATACTGCTGGGAGATTTATAAGCAGTTAATAGCTGGCAGGCATCCTGGGCCTGGTTAATGCCAATGTGCTAACTATACCAGTATTCCAGCATAGTTGCTGCTGCTTTTGTTTTAAAGATACTGGGGCAGTGGAAGTGGGGAGCAGATGCCAGCACACCAGCAGACAAGGTCTGGGGAACCATGTGCAGTGTACATGGGCCCTGAGTAGGCAGGCAGAGGCCCAGGCTGGCATGGCACATTGCCAAAGGATCTGCACACTTGCAGGCATGTGGGGGCTGTGGTCTAGAGATGTGTGGGAGTGAGGACTTCGGAGGGAGACCGTGACAGGTGAGGAGTGACTTTTGTGGGACTTCCACCAACCAGGATATTGCACTTTCAGGTAAATGAGGGGGCTGATACCAGGTGGTTTGGAGGAGGAAAACTGGAGGACTTTTGGGGGATAAAACAATACACCTGTTCATGCAGGAGACCTGAGCTAGGATTGTTGGTATCAACCACTGCCTAAAGACACACATGAAAGCCATGGCTGGCAGGGTTTGACCACAGTGTTCTGCCAGTGAATGTTGGGGCAGATGTGGACCATGCCTGGGCCATGGCACTAACCAGCACTTGATACAACGGGGTCTGGAAGAGATTCTGTGGGGGATTGTGGGCAGCATCCATTGGTTTGCATGTGAGATGGGGCTGTGACCACGTGATTGCAATCATCAGTGTGTGTAGGCTGATGTAGGTAATAAAGTCAGCTGGACATCACACTGGCTGGCACACACAGGAGTCAGGTTGGGGGTCACCTCTGGGGAGGTTTTTTGGGGATCCAATTGGATTACTGGACTCAGAACTCCAAATCATGGTGAAAATCATAGGGTATCTGGTCTGACTATGGAGTGCATGTGTCAGGACTGGGTCTCTTTGGTTGTTAAGGCCTGTGCAGTAGATGGCATGCCCAGATGCTCATGGGGGACATGACAACCAGTTCATTGAGGCCTGCAGAGAATATCTAGTACCATGGAGGGCAGAACAAATTGGACAGTTCTCCAGGTCAAGCTTTGACAGCAAGTATTTGGTGAATCAACAATAAGGTAGACTATGGACCTTGGAAGGCCAATGGACCTTGGAAGGATTTCCTCATCCATGGGGCAATGTTAATGTACAGCATATCAGCACTACTGAAACCACTTAAGCAGTACCTTCAGAACATGCTCCACATTGGGACCCTGGAATGACACTGGATGGCCCTCCTCCATTCTTGGGTACTAATTCAGTTGGGCTGTTGGTAGCAGCTTTCTCCCCTTCTCTCCCCACTTTCCCCAGATACAGAAGGAAAAAGGATATTGAAGGCAGTTGTCTCATCCATTTTCCCCATTCCTCAACCCTTCCCAATTGGTGGTCCAAATGGGCATGCATCCCTCTCAACTATGTAAACATCATAAAAAGTGAATTAAAAAATAAAGAGAAACGGTCACTTTGGGATATGACTATCAATTTTAGCCCATGTTTATGCTACAGTGGAATAATGGCCTTCCAACTTTTTACTTGTAGAATATACAATTAATGGTGTATTAAACCTGTGAATATAGATTGCAAAAACTGATTAAGAGAAGGGAAGTATGGAGAGAAGAGTACTGGGAGGGAGAGCAGAGAGTGAGAGAAGTGTGGTCACCTTCTTGGAACTGTCTCTATGGAATGCACAAGACCTGTTCTCTTTATATTAATTGCATTAAAAAAAACAATGAAATGTTACTATATCTTTGGCATAGATTATTCAGTTAAAATTGTATTACAACCTCCTATTCTCACTTCTGTACTAATGCAACAATCATTCTAGTGATTGCCAGTGAACATTATGTCTAAAATCAGAATATATGGTGAGCCTTGCAGTACAGTTTAAATTTTCTGATGAATGAGCTTTTATAGAAAATGTTGATAAGAATTTTTCAGGAAAATTATAGAGTACTTTAAATATAGAAATCAAAATTAATCAAACATACTCAAGCTTGTACTGAGCACTAAAAAGTACATGCTAAGAAGTATGAATGTTTCTTTAAATACCAAGTATTAGCTTAGCAGAAATTTTCAAATTTTATATATTATTTATTACAGGGAAGTTAATTTCTTACCAATTCTTGGATCAGGATAAGGCACTTCATGCAAATTTGTATAAAATGCTTCTAGCTCAAATGGTTCTTTCTTGTGGAAAGTAATGACTTTTGAGAATGGGGCAGGATGGTTCTTGCAGAACACTTCACATTCCCTAAAATGTAATGAGAACAAATAGGAAACAAATTGAAGTTTGCCTATAAACCTGACACAGAATCTATCCTTCTAATGGATTTTGGTTTTTGTTTCTTTGGAGAGAGACGGACTAAACAGAGAGAATTGCAGGCATACAAATAGAGTGAGTTCACACATCCACCGGTTCCCTCCCCAGAAGTCCCTAACAGGTATTGAATCCGAGTCTCCTGCATGAGCAATAGCAATGCAGTGTATGAGCCACCACCTGTTGCTTCCCAGAGTGCCACACCAGCAAGGTCTGGCAGTACAGCCAATACTTGAGCACAGGCATTCTAATACAGCATGTGAGCATCCCAAGCTGTGTCCTAACTACTCCAAACACCTACCGCTGCATTTCATTTTACTTCATAAGCAATAACTGGAAATATTTCTATACACAAATGTAAAGGAAAACAATTTGATTTTGCTATATGTAAATGTATTTTGACAGCTTTATAGTTAAAAGTTTTCAGAGCATATAACAGTTATATAGTACTGAAATGAGGATTACCAAAGAATACATGTGTTCTAGGTGGTTTCAAAAACAGTTCATGTACAGATTGAATTGTTTATTTTGGTGCAACAAAGGTTTTGAGAGTCAAACATTAAATTTTTCATCATGTGCATTTTTCCGTAACTTTTTTGGCAGGTAACTTTCATGGGTAATAAATTGGAATTTAAAAAAATCACATTTTAAGACCAGACCTTATTGAGTGACTCTAATAATAGTTGTCACATATAATTTTCTTATTCTTGCTCCCTTTGAAAAGTGATTTTTATTAATACTTTTTTTTCAAAATTTATCTATTTGAAAGTTAGAGAGGAAAAAAGAGAGACAGATATCTTGCAATTGTTGGTTCATTCCTCAACAACAAGGAATAGGCTAGACAGAAGCCAGTAGCTTCATATGGATATCCCACCTAGCTGGCAGGGCACAAGCATTTAGGCCATCTTATGCTTTCCCTGGCACGTTATCAGGAAGCTGGACTGGAAGTGGAACAACTGAGACTCAAACCAAAGCCTATACTGGACAGCTGTACTGCAGGCAGGGCTTCACTTGCTCTATCACAATGCTGGCCTCAGGAAATAACTTTAAGCTTACAGAAAAGTACAAAAACACAGGAGAAGGAAATCTGTGAAGGGCATTCTCTACCTAGATTTACTGCTATTAACATTTTATTCCATTTGTTTAATATTCTGAGTACACGGCCTCTGTGTACTTTTTCCTGAAACAACTATGAATGATATTGTATACATACACACACACATTATGGCCCCTTAAACATAAATAATTCAATGTGTTTCATAACAAGGATATTCTTTGATATTTTACTATCTGTATCTTCATTTCTTTTAGTTGACATAAAAATGCATTTTCCTCAACAAAAAATTAAGCCTACACAGCAATTCCTAGTCCTTGAATAATATAACAAAGGTGGCTTAGACTGTCATTTAGCAATGGCTTAGAAACACTCTTTAATGCTGTAGTATTATCAAAGTAGGTACCTTAAATTATGCAAAGTTTGAAAACTCTGACATTTATGACCTACTTCCTTCTGGCTAGTGTTGAAGAATCTATTAATACCTTTTACTTCCTTGTTATTAGGATCTAATTATTTTCTTTCTCTAAGATTTATTTATTTTTATTGGAAAGGCAGATTTACAGAAAGGAGAGACAAAGAAACCTGTATCTTCCCTCTGCTGGTTCACTCCCCAAAGGCCAAAATGGCTAGTGCTGAGCCAATCTGAACCATGAGCTTCATCTGGGTCTCACAGGTGGGTACAAGGTCCCAGGGCTTTAGACTATCCTCTAATGCTTTCCCAGGTCACATGCAAGGAGCTGGATGGGAACTGGATGGGAGCCGGAGCAGCTGGGACACAAACTGGTGCCCATATAGGATATCGGTGGTTGCAGGTAGAGGATTAGCCAGTTCAGCTATTTCAGTGGCATTTAAATTTTCCTCTTTTAGAAATTTTTTTTTTATTTTATTTGTTCAAAATGCAGAGTAACAGAGAAAGAGGAAGAAAGGGAGAGTTCACTTCTCAAATGCCCACAATACTCAGGGCAAGGCAGATAACAGTCAAGAGCAAAGAATCACTTCCAGGTTTCCCACGTGGGTGGTGGGAATTCACATACTTGACCCATTATGTACTGCTTCACATTGTGCATCAGCAGGAAGCTGGATGGGAGGTGGAGATGGGACTCAATTCCACACATTCTGATATGGCATGTGTACATTGCAAGTGGTAGCTTAACTCTCTGTGCCAAAGCTCCTGCCTCTATTTGCTTTTTAAATTTTCTTTTTCCTTTTTTAAAAAAGATGCACTTATTTATCTATTTGAAAGTCAGAATTACAGTTTGAGATAGGTCTTTCACCTGATGACTTATTTCTCAAATAGCCACAATGGCCAGGGCTACACCAGGCAAAAGCCAGGAGCACAGATCTTCTACCAGGTCTCCATGTCAGTGCAAGAACACATGCACTTGGGCCATCTTCAATTGCTTTTAGCGACATTAAAAGGGAATTGGATTGGAAGTGAAACAACTGTATCTCCAACCAGTGCAAATACAGGATGCCAGCATCAAGAGGTGGAAGCTTAACCTGATATGCTATAATGCTTCCCCGTTTCAAGGCATTTTAAGATTTTTTTCTGAATCTTTTGCATCTGTAACTGATATGAACTTTACATAGTTCTTGCCTCAGTATTTAGAAAAACACAATATTCAAATGCTTTGTAACACATTCACATGACGTTGGTAACCTACATTTTTATTTTTTTTTAAGATTTATTTTTATTTTTTTTTTATTGGAAAGGCGGATATACAGAGAGGAGAGACAGAGAGGAAGATCTTCCGTCCGATGATTCACTCCCCAAGTGAGCGCAACGGGCCGATACTATGCCGATCCGAAGCCAGGAGCCTCCTCCAGGTCTCCCACGCGGGTGCAGGTTCCCAAAGCTTTGGGCCGTCCTCCACTGCTTTCCCGGGCCACAGGCAGGGAGCTGGAAGGGAAGCGGGGCTGCTGGGATTAGAACCGGCGCCCATATGGGACCCCGGGCGTGCAAGGCGAGGACCTTAACCACTGCGCCATCGCGCCGGGCCCGGTAACCTACATTTTTAAAAATTACAAAATTTTTAAGGGGAGTACTGATGCCTTGATACACAGAATATAGAACAAAAATTAAAAGAAACTTCACAGTGTAAATATAGTTTTACACAAGTATAGCTTGTTTTGCACAAGCTATACTTCCCAAAATTAGGCAATTAACTGAAATACAAGTTTTATTTATGGCACAAAAACAAAGTACTTCCTGGGCAAACTACATTGGATATATATAAATAATCACATGAGCATTAAATGGTTGCATACTTTTCATTTCAGGGTATTCAGAGAAATGAACAGACACACTAGCTCTTACATGGTTATCTCTGAAAACCATTGTGGAAATCTAGTATGGAAAATGGAGGTCTACGTTTTTACCTCATATATATATATATTGTGCAACCTTCATTTGAAAATGTGTCTTATTTTTACAATAAAATATGAATTAAATATCCATTATTATGTATTTTATATAAATTTTAGATTGTTATTTTCTTTTTTTTTTAACATTTCTGAAGGTGTTTTTTTTTTCTTATTAATAAATTTTATTTTGACATTCTTTACATAGTTAATTAGGGTAAGAAGGTTCAAGGGCTACAGGAAAGTGGATAATACTAGTATGTTTTCCATATTGTTAGCTTCATATTCAAAGGGGGGTATTTAAGGGAGAAGCCCACCCAATTTCCCACCCTCCCCAGGTCCCGGATATAGGGCATGCTCTGAGGTTCTTGCTCAAGTGGTCTTGATATTGCCACAGTTATGAATCACTGTCAATCTTGCCACTCCAAGCACTATGAGATCTTTGAAAAATCCACTGATTGACATAGTCCATCATAGCTGAGATGGTTGGTTGACCTGTTCTGTCTTCTCTCTTTTCTTCGTTAGGGTTCTGAGTCCAGCATTTAGATTAGGAAGATCTCCAAAGAAACTTCTTGTATGTGCTAACAAGTACAGGGCCTGGCACCGTCCATCGCTCCAATCAGCTGGTGGTTGCAATTCCTGGGTTGGTTCTGTTTTCACTCCCAACTTCCACTGGAACCAATGGGTGTTGCAGTCCAGCCTGGTTCTGCCCAGCACATACTTGGCCCTCACATAAACCAGCAGGAGCTGTAGCCTAGGTTGGAGCGACCCACAATAACCCCCACCAGGCCCACCCCCTACCCTGGTTTGCCAGTAAGTGTAGCAGTAATCCAGTCTGTCCCACATCCCATTCCACCCCAGCCGCTGTCTTAGTTTTATGTCCTCCCATGGAAGTGGTAACCCAAGAGGGATGAGCCCACTATTTCCCTCCCAGGCCTCTCCCACTCCCAGATTCCAGTTGATGCTGCCCAAACAAACCTCGCCCACTTTAATTTTGTTTGCACCAGTAGGAATAATCCGCCCAGCCTGGCCTTTCCCTGATCTAGTCCACATGAGGCGCACAGGTGTGGTAGCTCTGCCTAGTCTGGTCTGCCCCCATCCCAGCCCATGCTCTCCTGTGGAAGTAGCTGTCCAGCAAAGGAACCCTCCCTTATTCCCCTGCCAGCTCTGCCCACTTCCTTTCTTGTTCTCAGGCTGGTTGGGCGCTGCGGTCCCTTCCGGTACAGGCAACCTCACCTCGGCATTCCATAATGTGCACTAGTCTTTGTTGCGACCGAACCTGGGTCGACCCACACTGGTGCCTGGATTTGCCAGTGGATGACGTGGACAGATTCAGCCTGGTCTTGCCCCCACGTCTGCCAATTGTATGCCAGTGGGTAGTTTTCCATGGCTTTTTCTGGGCTGTTTCCTATCATGTTTCTTGCGTTTACCTGCTGGGTCTGTGCCCTGCCAGAGGAGTTGCCCAGGCTCCTCCATCAGAACCTCTCCCAATGCCAGGTTTCACGCTTACCAGTGGGTCCATGAGCCAACCCTACTCAGTCCACCTCCTGTCATAGCAGGAACTGTGGCTTTTCCTGACTGGCCTTCCACCCAATCTGGTTCTTGCTGTTGGATGTTCCAGCCCAGACATGGTTTGCCCATACCCACGTATGGCTCACACATGGCTCAGTAAGGGTTTGAGACCCTGCCTAGTCCATCCCACATCTGCCCTGGTCCTCCAGAACACCAGGGGGAGTCGGGGTCCGGCCCAGTTCGGTGCATTCAATCCCAGTCCACACTTGTGCCAAGGGAGACTACAACTGTTTCCAGATCAGAACGCAGCCCCCTTCCAGGCCACGCGCCTCTTGGTGGGAACCTCAGCCCAGCTAGGGTTGTCCCCTTTGCTCCCCAACCGGGTCTGTTCCCAGCCATAGATCACATGCCTGCCAATGGATGCTCTGACTCAGCTTGGCACAGCCCCTCCCCTGTCCCAAACTCTGCCTTAGACACTGTGGCTTAGCGTCCCAGGCTCCCGCAGACCAGCAGGTACAAGAGCCTAGCTCGGCATGACCTCTGCTCCCTCCTGGTTTCTAGTTTTACTTGTGGGCTAAGGTTTGCTCAGTCGTGCCTAATCTACTCTGTTCCATTACCAGTTGACACTTTGGCCAGCTGTTGGAGCTACTTGTGCAGGACAAGCCCCAAGCCATAGCTTCTGCATGACTGGTATTTGGTGCTCAGCATTATTAGTGATTACAAGTTTTGCTAAGGAAGAGTTACTGCCTGTTTCAGGTCCAAGAAGCACAATGGGTTCAACCTGGAGCTAATTAAGCAGCAACTCAAAGAGCCAAATCCCCAGAGCTCCCCAGCCGGGCGGCCAGCAGGCAGAGCCTGGCACCAATGGCACACTGGCCGGGAACGGCTCACCATGTGCCCATGGCGGCCGTCCGGGATCCAGGCATGAGACGCCCCGTCCTGAGACCCACCAGCTGCCAGGAGGCTGCTGGAGGTTTAAATAACCCAGGCCCAAGGTCGTGCCCCTCCCAAATCCCATTCACCGCCCCATGAAGGCGGCGGGTGGGCCCTGGACCTGCCCAGTCCCGGAGGCCTCCCCCCCTCGGTCTACTCACCCCGAAGGAAGCGGCCCCCGAAACCCAGCAGGCCCGGGGAGAACGGCTCACCATGTGCCCATGGCGGCCGTCCGGGATCCAGGCATGAGACGCCCCGTCCTGAGACCCACCCAATTGTTATTTTCTAATATTTCATTTAAATTACTGGCAGAGTTCCCTTCTTGTGGCCTAGGAAAGCAGTTGAGGACAACCCAAAGCCTTGGGATCCTGTACCCATGTGGGAGACCTGGAGGAGGTTCCTGGCTCCTGGCTGTGGATTGGCGCAGCTCTGGCCGTTGTGGCCACTTGGCGAGTGGATCAGCAGATGGAAGATCTTTCTGTCTCTCCTTACCTCTTCTCTGTATATCTGACTTTCCAATAAAAAATAAATAAAAATAAATCTTTGAAATAAATTGTCTGGCAGATTTTAAGAAGTATAAGCTTCTTTAATTTGGAAAAGTTTAATTGGGCAATAATTATGATAAACTGAGGTCAAGTTTTCAAAAATAACTTACCCAGTTCCATCTTCAAAACAGGTCTTCCATCTTAGTGTGATTGAATAAGGGACAATGTCTGTTATGGAAAATTCACGCACTTTAAATGCTGGTGAGAGAATCGCACACTGAAAACAAGATGCACACCATATTTAAATAAACACAAACCACACCCTAGGTTACCCTGATTCATCTGTTCAATAAAGTCTCTACATTAAAATTCTTAATTTAAAAAATTACCATTTTTTATAATACCTAGAGAAAATCTAAAAGGGCCACAAAGTAGTCTTTCTGTGATCTCACAAATATTAACATAAGAGTCCTAACCAGAAGACTTCATTTAAAAACGGTTAGTGTATTTACAATCAAACTTACTTTTCAATAATTTCGATGAACATTAGCCTATCATTAGACAATTGGAACAGACAGTAAGATCAAAAAGATAACCTCTTAGATCTATCCACCCTTTAGGATAAACATACATTCTAAAAAATAAATATCCATACCTGTAATGCACATCCTCTTGCAACAGCTTCATCGGCATTTAATGTGGTGCTGATGTCTTTGAGAAAGAATTTAGTGATTTGCTCCTTCACTGCAGGGATTCTTGTTGCTCCTCCCACAATTTCTATACTATTTATATCTTCACGTTGTAAGTCTAGGAAATAAGAATTTTTAAAATATTTATTTTTGTTTATTTTAAACCCAGAGGTACAGAGCCGGGGGTGGGGCAGCGTAGGAAAGAGAGCATATATCTGCTAGTTCACTTCCCAAATGGCTGCAATGGCCAGAGCTGAGCCAGGCCAAAGCCAGGAGCCAAGGCTTCTTCCGGGGTTTCTTACATAGTACAGGAGCCCAAGGACTTGAGCTATCCTCTGCTGCTTTCCTGGGTACATTAGCAGAAAGCTAGATTGAAAATAGAGCAACTGATAAACTGGTACCCATATGGGATACTGGTGCCACACAGAGAGTTACCAGCTATACTATGATTTCAGCCTCAATAAAATGTTTTTTGTTTTAAGATGCATCTTATTTTTATTGCAAAGGCAGATTTACAGAGAGGAAGAAGATAGAGAAAGACCCTCTATCTGCTGGTTTACTCTCCAAATGGCTGCAACGGCTGGAGTTGAGCCCATCCATAACCAAGAGCCAGGAACTTCTTTTGGGCCTCCCATGTGGGTGCAGGAACCCAAATACTTGAGTCTCCCTCTGCTGCGTTCCCAGGTTCTAAGCAGGGAGTTAGATCAGAAGTGGAGCAGCCAGGACACGAATCGACACTCATATGGGATGCTGGCACTTGCAGGTGGAGGATTAGCCCGTTGAACTACCATGCTGGTCTCATAAAATGTTTTTAATTGGGAAAAATAAAGAACCTTTAAGTTTGTGAAAAACAGACTTTAAGTGCTTTTTAAAAAAAGAGCAAAAATTATTTGTTGAACAGAAAGTATACTGTAAAGAAGAGAAAAACAGACTTTGGAAAAATGCAACATTTAATATAATAATATCGCATTTTAGTTATCTTTGCGATAGGCACTGAACTTATTCTATATGATAGAGTTATGATAAAACCAGGCAAATCCCTATGGAAGATAAAACTAATTTAAAAATGCAACCACAAGCCAATTTCTAGTTTAATTTCACTTAGAAATTTTATAAAATTACAAGTACTTTTATAAAAATACAAGTATTTCTAAATAGAATGAGCATTAGCTTTATAATGTAAACAATAAAATGAGTCAGGAAGAATTTTTTTAAAGTCTACGTTAAGGGCATTAAATGAATAAAGAATGAGAGATAAGGGGATGCCTTTGTGGCATAGTAAGAGAAGTTGCCACCCATGACTGTGCAATCCCAAACGGTGCAGGCTGGCCAAGGACATGGCTTCTGCGCCCAAGTAGGAAACCTAGGGAAAGCTTGTGGCTCTTGGGTGTGGCCTGACCCAGAGCTGGCTGACATGAGCATGTAGGGAATGTACCAGCAGATGGAAGATCTTTGTATGTCTCTATTTCTCTTCCTCTCTTTCAAATTAAAACATTAACCTTCCCAAAAAAAAAAAAAGATACTAATTAAAACACCCATTTGAAAGTGTCAAAAGTGCCTGAATTTCTATTATCTGGCTAATAATCCAAGCCTGGGAAGCAGCTCCATTGCTCAAAGTTTCAACTCCCGGCTTGTGGCCACAGCTTCCAGCCATTTAGTCATTTGTGGAGTGAAACAGAAGAAGGGGGCTCGTCCTGTCTGTCCATCTGTTTTTCTGCCTCTCAAAAAGCAAGGGGCTTATAATCTGCCCTTCTGTAAAATGAAAATTGCAAATCTATAAATAACAACATGAAGTTTTCCTTGCTTTTAATTTTTTTTTTTTTACCCTCCTTAAGTGAACAATACCCTGGGGGACAATTTTCACAGTCCAGTAAACTGTCACTTACTAGCCTGCTCCATTACTCCTTTTAAAGGTGGTTCAACCCTGGCCAAGAGGGAAGCACATAACTGTTCAAACTGAGACCTGTGGGAAAATGGAATAAAAGGCATTATTTAGGGAGAAAAGTTGAGTGTATCATTTAAATAAAGGAGAAAAACTTAGATGTGGTCTAAACATTATAAAACAAGCAGACACTTTTCAAACTGAAAACATACCTGTTCATTTTACTAGAAACATCAAGGTCATTCATGAAGCACTCAATATTCAGTGGAAGATCTGATGCATTTGCACTCATTAGCTTCTTTAATTTTTCACATTCCTGGTATAAACGTAACAAGGCCCGAGAGTTTTCTTTCACATTAATCTTATATTTGGTCTTGAATTCATCACAGAAGTAGTCTACTAAAGCTTCATCAAAATTCCTGCCTCCCAAATACGGATCAAAGGTAGTAGCCAAGACCTGTTTAGTTGAAAAACACAACTGAATACTCAGAAATGTAGAGTCTTTCAAAAACAAACAAAACTAAAAGAAAAGTTTCTAAAACTGTAATAACAAAAACATAAAAAGTAAGCTAAAGAACTTATCCAATCATAAGAGTATCCAATTCGGAATCAGTTAGCTTATCACATACGTTTAGTCAATATTATTTCCTTATTCTGAATTATCTTCTTTATATTTAGAGAATCATATAACATCATTAAAAAATTCTAACTCTGAAATAATTGAACTACAATAACAACCATAGGCTCAGTATCTGTAATCCTTTCGTTCAATAACAGTAATGAAAAGGTGGCCCAGAAACCAAGTTTAAGAGATCAAACACAACAGTTCTAAGCATACACAGAACAGCAACACATTTGTGAAACAGATCTAAAGACTAAAACTAAAGTGTTGTAATTGGCCATTTTATGTCTAGAATTAGGCTTTTTATCACAGCTTATTTCTACAAAAATATAGAAGAAGCAAAAAAAATATATGAGACAGCTAAAAAGAAGAGAAACAAATGAAGAGGGAGTCAAGTGTTTACTAAACTGGCTGAGCAACAGACTCTCAAACAGCAGTGAAGTGGAAGGGAAGAAGCTCAATGTCCGAGTGCTTGAAAACACAAGGTCAGGACATCTGGTCCCTCTTCCTAGGCAGGGTACAAGAACAACTTAAAACAGAACAGTTTTTCCTTCACGGACGTGGGGATGCAATGCAAGAATGGTAACAACCATCACAGTGGATGTGAGAACAATCTAGGTAGAAAGCAGCTTATTCACTAGTATGGTGAACCCGTGAACAGACTTCTTATGAAGTTCAGCATTACCCAAAATTAAGTGAAAAATGATCTTAGAGCTGCACTAGTGCACAAGTATGTACTCTTTTGAGAAAAGGGCAGCAGCTTTTACCTGGCTTACAAAGGAATCTATGATGCAAAAACTACAATTAGTCTAAACTATTCAATGAAAAGGACAACAAAAGATTTTTAAAAATTAAAAGCAATCATTACATTTAAAAAATCAATTATATGAACTATCAATTATAAGAATTAATCCAATTATGCTGAAAAACTACATTATATATTCAATATGAAGCATTTCTTTTCAAGTTTCTGATAACAAGGATGTTACTGTAAACTGACAAATGGCTTTTGCCACATTAGATAACCAAAAGCAGTTTATTTTCTTACTACTCATGTGCATAATGGCAGACAACGTGTTAAGTCTAGACAAGATAATCAATATAAAAATGTAAATTAAGAAAAATATAAATTATTACATAAGCAAACACATAGAACCATGCTCCATGGTATAAATGATCAGGACTCCTGAGAAGAAGGTTTCTGAAAATAATGGGAATCTTTCAAAAAGTTTTCTGTATTTTTTGATAAATAATTTTTGCTCCCTTAAATGTGACTTAATGCCTCAACAGAAGTAGCTAACATACATTGTAGCAGATAATATTCATGCCAGACATTGCAATCATTTTTTGCACATTAACTGATTCTATTCTCAAAAACTTCTTGAGATAGTTACATTATTCTCAGATGAGGAAACTGAGGCTTAGGTTTAGTTTTGTTACTTGTTCAAGTTACTAATTTTTAAGGTGCAGAACCTGAATTCCAACCAACTATTAAGGTTCTCTATATGTCTGTGCTCTCACTCACTAAATTTAAATAATAAATCATTAATTTACTTACTTTAAGTTTCCCTTTGTTAAAAGCACAAACCGAGACTTGATAGGCAGAATGTCCCATATCAATAAATACCACATTTCTTGGTTTCTCATCTAATGAGGGAAGATCCTGCTTATAAATTCCATATGCTAGAGCAACTGTGTAAGAACAGAGAGTTAGGTTAGTTCTAAATAGCAATTACTTGGGAAATAAGAGGCAAATCACTTTGATACTCTATTTTACATTTGATTTTAGCCAAAAGGCTGAAAAATAATTGATAATCCCTTTTAACAGAACAGTAATACATAATATTAGGTTCAAAGGAAGTGATTCTTTTCATAATTTGGTTTTATCTTAATTGTATTTTTCCTATTAATCTAACTCTAAAAGCAACAAATTCTCATAGCTAGTAAGATAATCTCTGCCAAGCTGTTGTAATTTATCAAGGAATAACAGAATTCAGATAGATTTAAAAAGATGTTTTGTTGTTAGTTGGGGGAAAAAAAACTAGGAATTTTTCTTACAGTAGTTTTCAAGCTGCAAATGCTTACCTGCAGTAGTTTCATTCATCAGCCTTAAGCAATTTAACCCTGCAACTTGGGCTGCAGCCATCACAGATCTTCTCTCAGCATCAGTAAAGAAACTAGGAATCTGGTATTTAAAAATAATGATTATTTCAGGTCAATATGATACATTTTACTGAAATTTCATCAGTTGAAAATGTCAAACTATACTAATATTCACATACAGTTTAAGGCAAAGAATAATGCTTTAATCAAGAAATGAGGGAAAATACTGTTTACTTTTAAGTCTGATAATTTTTATGCTATAACCTTTTTAATTTAAATTAACTTAAGGAGTAATGTTCAGATAGCAGTTCAGAAACATGGCTCACTCCCATGCTGTAGCAGAGTGCACCCGGTCTAACTGGTGGTCCTGCCTCCCATTCAGGCGTGCTGCTAGGGTGCACTCTAGGAGGTGTGCCGGCCATGGCCCCAGTGCCAAGGTTCCTGCCACCAGGAACAGGAGGAAGAAAAGAAACAAAAAAGAACTAAAACATTTATCTCACCCACATACTTCCATACCTCAATCCTCCCCTACAACCAGAGGCCCACATGGACAAGCATCCCTCTCAATTATTTAAACAATACTGAAAATAAAATAAAAAATCATTTCTTAATATATTTAAACCAAGATCAGTTTAGGATTAGTTAAGTATACTTTAGTATATCTGTGTAATGGAATCCTATGTAGGTGTTAGAATCTCATTTGAGTTGTTGTGGCATGACATCTTAATTATATTACAAAAAAAATGGTTATGATTTATTTTCTGTATGTACATAAAATTGCCAGTTGTTTAAAATGGTAACATTCCCAAGGAGGGAAAAAAATACTGCAAAAGAGCTTATGATGAGCATGTATTTCTTCTACAATTATCAAAAAATATTTCTACTTAAAAATTAAGTAAATTAGGACTTAAAACGAATATTTATATACATTTAATGCTACTAACTAAGAAGCCCTTTGATTTGGTCCAAAACCAAATTTCTAATAATCTAGTTATTAAGTATAGGGTTGTACAAAATAACCTGGAGTTTCTCCTAATTTTATGTTTGAAATAGTCTCCAATTTTATTTTTTGAAGGACCAAACGTCATTTAATAAATTAAAAAAAATTATTTTCTTTAACAATTTTTATTGAAAAGGCAGATTTACAGAAAGGAAAGACAAAGATCTTCCATCCACTTCTCTAACACTGTCTTTCAAATAAAAAAAAACCTTTAAAAAAATAAAAAAGAAACAGATGAGATTATTTGAAATATACTTAGTATATCCACAATCTTTTTTTTTAAGATTTTTTTTACTAGAAAGTCATATATATCGCTTCTCGGCCTTTTGGCTAAGATCAAGTGTAGAAAGTCATATATATAGAGGAGGAAAAACATGGAAGATCTTCCATCCGCTGATTCACTCTCCAGGTGGCCACAATGGCTGAAGCTGAGCAGATCATAAGTCAAGAGCCAGGAGCCAGAAGCTTCCTCCATGTCTCCTATGCGGGTGCAGGGTCCCAGGACTTTGGGCCACCTTTAACTGCTTTCCCAGGCCACAAGCAGAGAGCTGGGTGGGAAGTGGAGCAACCAGAACACGAACCAGCGTCCATATGGAATCCCGGTGCATGCAAGGCGAGGATTTAGCCACTGAGCAATTACACCGGGCCCTTTAATTATTTATGATACAGTTCTATAGGCACAGAGATTTCCTTTCTCCTTCTTCCCACCCCTACTGTTTTCCCCCATATTATTAAAATAATCTCAACTTTGTCTGATAAGCTTTCATAATTTGATTTAGCATTATCATGACAAAAATCTAAATTATAATTTCAGTTCATTTAAAACTGATTGAACCACTTATATTCTGGATATATTCCTGCCTACTAGGAAATAAAACAGACACATTACTTGCTCTTTTATAGCTCATAATGGGTCTGTTTTGACCAACCACAAAGTCATTACTATAAAAAATGCCCACATTTTTTTTGTTCAGACAATAATTTGATATTAAAATAAAATCAGGGTTAATTAAATTAATGCAGAAAAATTTAAAGGCAGATTTTTAAAAAATGGCTTCATTTTGACAAACTTTCAAGTGAAAACCTATTTGAAAAGTTATGAACACAGATTTCTCTATCACTAGTTAATCATATTAACTTTGGACATGTTATTTAACATTTCTTTGGCTCACTTTTTAATCTGTAAAATGGAGGTTAGTAATACTATATCTCACAGAATAGCTCTGAAAATTAATAACATGACTATATATGATAGTATCTAGCAAATTATTATTATTAAATAGCTGAAAAACAAAATATTAAGCCTTAACATTTTTTTCCTCCCATTAAAAGTTCCAAATGACTATGGAGCACAGCTGTGAAGTTGCCACTGGGTTCTTATCAGTTTTCCAATTCTGTCCCAGCTTCCTGCAATACACATGTATGTGGGAGACCCAGAATGACTTCTGGGTTCCTAATTTTAAGTGGCCCCTCCTTCATTGTTGAGAGCATTTGGGGAGTAAATTAGCAGATGGAAGATGTCCTTTTTGCTCTTCAACTACAAAAATTAAATAAAAACATTATTACTAAATTTACTAAATTCACTGAAGAGTGAATTTTATGATGACATTATACTTGTGCAGTCAAGTTTAATAGTAAACATAAATTCACATTTAAAGAACTTGTAACTTAAAAACTAACAGCATTTAATGGGTTCTTAAGAGGGAAGATATGGTAAATAAATTTTTTTTGTCATAATCTTTGACGTAAGATCTTTCCTCTGAAATAACATATGTATAACTTCAGACTTCCAATTGGAAATTTTCAATTTTTGCCATCAAATGCTAAGGTCCTATGAAGTGAGAAGTGCTACTTCTTGAAACAGTTTTTGTTTAAAGATTTGTCCATTTTTATTTGAAATGTAGATTTTAAGGAGAGAGGAGGAGAGACAGAAATAAAGTGACGCCCATCTGCTAGTTCACTCGCTAAATGGCCACAATGGCTGAAATTGGGCTGGTCCAAAGCCTGAGGCAGGAATTTCTGGATTTCCTATGTGGGTGCAGCCCCCCTGAGTTCTGGGAGCTTGACTGGAAGTGGAGCAGCTGGAACTTGAACATGCACCCATATGGATGCTGGCAGCGCAGGTGGATGCTGCCAACCTAGTATTGCACAGTTCCAGATCCCAGAGAAACTTTCAATGTTAAGTAACATAATTACACACATTAGTTTTTAAGGATTTGTTGATTATCACTTTGGGTTTTTATGGGATATTCCACCTTAAATTTTATCAAATAAGATATAACTAAAATACACACGCACTTTTTTTTTTTTTTTGAGAGGCAGCGAGAGAGAAGAGAAAGAGAACCTTCATTTACTGGTTTACTCCCCAATAAATACAACAACTTGAGCATGAGGAACTAAAAACTGGTCTCCCTTGAAGGGAGCAGGAAGCGGAGTACGTGAGCCATCCCCTGCTGTCTCCTGGATGTGCATTATTAGCAGGAAGCTAGGATGACATGCACCTGCTATGCCTCCCCTGGTAATTTTTTTTTATGGAAAAGTCAAAATGAACTTAAGTTATTTACTGGATATAGAAAAAGTGTAAAGGAAGAAAAACATTTCTATATAAAATATACTGGATGGTAATATTCAAAAGAATTTGATATGAAGTAAACTTACTGAAATCACACAGTCTGCCACTGGTTTCTTTAAAGCATTTTCTGAAGTCTCTTTAAGCTTAGCTAATAGCATTCCAGTGACTTGTTCAATTGCAAATGGTCTCTCTTCTTCTAGGTACCGCACCTAAAACCAGAAGCTGGTGTTTATTAACAGCGATATATTCATTCAGCAAATATTTAATAAGCATTTATATTCTGTAAGTAATAGAAATACAACAGTAAAAAGGCAGTCATTGTTCAAAGAAATTTTATTGTATAAAGACTGTATTTCTAGCATCAGCACATCATTAAAAACAGGAATATTCTCTCACATTTCTCAGGTTTCTGTACCTTACATACAGTATTATAAAGAAGCAAATTATCTTCAGAAGTACTCTATTATCTCATATCTCTAGTACAACAAAAGCACTTTATTTACTTAAATTACTTAATTGGAAAAGCAGATCAGAGTCACAGAAATAAGAGACAGAGAAAAAGATTTTCCATCTCTGGTTCATTCCCCAAGTGGACACAACGGCAGGAGTTGAGCCAATCTAAAAGTCTTCTCCGGGTCTCCAGCAGGTGCAGGGTCCCAAAGCTTTGGCCCTCTTTTCCTGGTTTCCCAGGCCACAAGCAGGGAGTAAGATGGCAAGCAAAGCAGCCAGAACATGAGCTGGCACATATATGGGATTCTGGCATGTGCAAAATGAAGATTTAGCCATTGAGCCACCATGCTAGCACCCAAAAACACTTTTTATCATTCATTTCCAACTGTGAAAAATTAATGATGGACAAAAAGATCAAATCAACTTTTGAAAATAAGAACTCTTGAGGTTTAAAATAAAAGTTTTGGAAAAAGGAAAACCTCAGGACAGGAAAAAGAAATATTTTTGTTTTAAGAAAGGAAATGTGGGGCCAGCATGGTGGTACAGCAATCTAGGCCTCTGCTTGCAGTGCTGGCATCCCATGTGGATGCTGGTTCAAGTAAGAGCCACTCCACTTCCCATCCAGCTCCCTGTTTGTGGTCTGGGAAAGTAACAGAGCCTGGTCAAAGTCCTGAGGCCCCTGAAACCACACGGGTGACCCAGGGGAATTCCTGGTTCCTAGCTTTGGATCAGTCCAGCTCTGGCCATTGGGGCATTTGGGGAGTGAACCAGTGCATGGAAGATCTCCTTGTGTCTTCTTCTGTCTCTATTACTTGACTTCTCCAATAAAAAAAATTTTTTTAAATGTTTTTGAAAAAAGAAATTTAATGTATAGATTCTGGGGACGACTATAAAACTATGATAAATATAGAAGATATACATAAGAAATTAGAAGATATTTTTAAAACCAAATAACTGCTTCATTTATATATAGGTTTTTTAAAATTTTGTTTATATATAAGTTTCAGACTATCTTCCATGTAGACACGTGAAATGAAACATGACAAAGCTTCCTGACCAAGGAATACTGAGGGACCTGTGCTTTATTCAAATAATTAAATGATTATGATTAATTTGATTTCATGCACTTTGGTGCATATCTAATATATCCACAGGAAAATAGTCAAACTACAGATACAAATAGTGATATTATATTTATTTTGCAAATGCTTTTCTACCCTGGAACCATAATGCTTACCTTAACTCCTGCACTTCCATTAGGCATCTTCTGCAACTCATAAGGAAGTCTGATCCTTTCAGTTTGCACAATGGGATCATCAAATGATCGTCCATGAAGCTTTTTGAAGCCATGAATTGTATTTCTCACGTTTGTGACTATCTGTTGGCAGTGAACATTTATATTAATTAATTAATTAATGCAAAATAAACTACCTGTCTTAAAACTTGAGGACCACCAAACATCTTCATTATATATCTGCAGTTTCAGAATTACACACATTCATTTTCTGATTGAGTTATAGAATTTACTAAATTAGAATGCACCCAGGGGTCCGGGCCTTGGGGTTGGGGGCAAAAGCAGCTCCTGACAGTGTAGACAGGGGGTTGGCCCTGTCGGGCTGGATCCAAGGCTGGGAGCTCAAGCCAAAGCCACTGCCAAAAGGCAGTGACTGAGTCCCTGGCTTTGGGTGGCCAGTGCACCAAATGGTGCCAGGTTCTGCCTGCTGGGCGCCAAGTGGCAAGCTCTGGGGTTTTATGATATGAAATTGCTGCCTAGGGACACTCATGAATAAGGCTGGCTTTAGCGTAGGTGAGAGATGAATTCTAGGTGATTCCCAGTAACAGGGTCATGAAACTTTTGGGCAAGCATGGGGATTGAGACCTGATGGTTTGGAGGGGAGAGACCATAAGATCTATTTGGGCCAGACTGATTCACCAGCCCAATTAGCAATCCTGAGATGGGCTGTTAGCATAGAGCATCACTGACTGCCACACACCAGTCCACACCAAAGCTAGGGATGGGGGCCTGTCTGGCAGGGCTAGGTACAAATACCTGACCGGGTGGTGGAATAGTGAACTGGTCACATTCAGCAGGGTCAAGACACTAACCAGCATGCAAGAAAACTTGGTCCTGTGGTAAACTCTGTGGGGGAAGTGTGGGCTGAACCCTGTGGAAATACAAGTCCTGCAAGTTAGCTCACGAGCTGGGGTGGTGATGGGCTGAGCTAAGTGTGACCATGGCACCTGCCATCACTAACGGGTGAAGGAACCAATGGCATTCTGGGCAGGTCAAGACAGCATCACCCAAAGGTGCATCCTAAAATAGGATGTGGGGTTAGCCGAGCTGCAACTGGAAGGGGGCAGACTGGGCAGGGCCAAGCAAACTTCAACTCACAAAAAAGAACAGAAATCAGGATGGAGCACATGTCATTCTGATCTAGGCTCTTACACCAACTGGTCTGCATGAGTCAGGGATACTAGTCCACAGCATCGAAGGCAAAGGCTGAGACAGGTGAGGGGCTAAGCTAACTGGGTCAGAACACCCACTGGCATGTGCGTAATTTAGGGCTGGGAATAGACTCGGTTGGGGAGCTGTGAGAGAACACCCTTGCTGGGTTGAGATTCTCATGGGAGGGTGCGGGGGCTGGGGTGGAGGCTGCGTTCTGGTCTGGATATGGCTGTAATCTCCCTAGGCACAGTTGTGGACTGGGGCTGGGTGCACCAAGCTGGGCTAGAAGCCTTTACCATCTGGCGCTCTGGAGAATGTCAGTAGATGTAGGATGGACTAGGCTGGATCTCTGCCCCTATTGAGCCATGTGTGAGCAGTGTTTGGGTATGGACAAGTCTTGGCTGGGCTGAAACAGCCAACATCAAGAACTGGAGCAACCCAGAACAGGCAGGAGGAAGCTACCCACTGGCATAGATTTTGCATAGGTGGGGGCAGGCCAGGCTAAACCACTTCACATCAACTGCTGGCAAATCCGAGCACCAGCATAGTCAGGCCAGTTTCAGTCGCGACACATACCAGTGCACATTAAGGAATGCCAAGGTGGGGTGAAGCATACCAGATGTGGTTGCAGTACCCAAACAGCACACGTGGGAGAAGGCAAAGGCAGCAGGGGGATGTGGGCTCCACTGCTGGAAAACCACACCCACTGGAGAGCAGGAGTTGGGAAGGGGGCAGACCAGACCAGGAAGGGCTACAACACGTGTGGGCCTCATGCATGCTAGACTGGGAAAGGGCCAGGTTGGGCTGACTGTTCCAACTAGTACAATCCAAAATTAGAGTGGGTAAGGGTTGGTTGGGCTTTGCCACATCATCAGATGGGGGTCAATTCTGTTAAGTCAAATGCCAGAACCACCTGGAGTGTGCATAATCCAGAAGTTGGAGTGGTGTAGTAGGGAGATAGTGGGTACCTCCCTCTTGGGTTACCACTCCCACAGGAGAGCACGAAAACCAGGATGGGGCAGGGATGACTAGACAGAATGGCACCTGCCAGTATGTGTGTAGGCTGGATAGTAGGTTAGTTAGGTTTAACTAGGCTTCAATGGCCAATGACAAGTACCATAGTTAAATGGGATGTGGGACAGACTGAACAAGTCTGTGGTAGATAGTGGCAAGCATGGGAACCAGGGCAGGGAGCAGAACTGGTGGGGGTTATGGGGAGTCGCCCCAACTAGGATGGAACTCCCACTGGTTTGCGTGAGGACTGAGTATGAAGTGGGTAGGATCGAGCTGGACTACAACACCCATTGGTTCATGTGGAAGACAGGGCTGGAAACAGAACTGACCCAGCAACTGAAATGACCAGCATATACATAAGCTGATTGGGGTGACAGACTGTGCCAGACCCTGTACTGGCAAGCACACACAAGAATCAGGTCTGGGATCACTTCAGAAGAAGTTTTTTTGGAGTCCCCTCCAACTAAACTGCTGATCTCAGAACTCCAACCATGAAGAGACTATGTCAGCCAGTGGATTCTGAATAGGTTTCATTGTGATTGGAACAGTGAGATTGGCAGCAATTCAGACCTGTTGAACTATCACAACTGCTTGAGCAGGAACCTCAGAGCGTGCCTCACATCAGGGACCTGGGATGGGTGGGAGCCTGGGTGGGGCTTCTCCCTTTGCTTCTCCCCTGACCCCAGATACAAGGAAAAAATGATATTATTGTGGAAACAATGGTATTACCCACTTTCCTATAGCCCTTGACCCTTTGTAACCTAATCAACTAAAATAAATTTTAAAAAATTGAATGCACCCATCTTCAGTGTGGCTCTTCCACCTGCACTTCTCCTCCTATTCTGGGAAGTAATATCTTCAAAAGAGAAACAGCAAATCTTTAAAACTCTTCTAATAATATAATAAGACCTATTTACAGTATATATCGTTTCCCTCAATACTTTTATACTAATGTTTTTATTTATTTTATTTCTCTACACTTGCATTTGTGTCTTTTATTAAATAAGCTTATTACCCATTTTTTAATGCTCTCTATATCTAATTTTTATAAAACAGGCATGTTGTTTGTATTGCTAAGAGCTGCTCCTAGACTAGTAACACCTTTCATGTAGTATGAAGTTAAATGAAACTGTGTCAAATGGTTTATATTTTGACTAAGTTATTTGTTTAAACTAGTGCTTGTTTCAGTAGCATATACAACTAAAATGTATCTTCTTACTAGAGCATGTAGTTAACCCTATAAAATAGTTATTTCAAATGGGTCTTTGAAGCCAAATAGATTCTGATCTTCAACTATGAGATGAAAGCTACAAGAATAATGTTACATATAAAACTATTCCACACTTTAGAAGGAATAATTTTATAAGCTGCTTTCTTTAGAGACTTTGAAAAACTTAGATGACTATCCAGAATTTGATATAAAAAAGTGATGGGTCATATCTTAGCAAAAACTCAGTAATTATAAAACTAGAAAACACATTCATATGTGGGGCAATTATAATTATTCCTGCAAAGCACAAGAGAAAGAAAAAAATCCCATTAAAGAAAATTCTTTTATAAAGAACATAAGACAAATCATGTAAACATCAAATGTAAAAAAGAACAAGTTTTTGTTGCTGGAAAATAAATCCAAGGAAAAATCAACCTATACCACAGATTGTTAAAATCAATATTCTGCTTACAGACATTTCAAAACCCTTGAAATATAAATACTCAAACAGATTCCATGCAATGTAGTTTCAGCCACATGAAATTACTCTGGAAATTAGTTTTTCCATTTTCCTTACCCTCCTCTACAAAGATATTACTCGTCACTGAAGTGTATGCTCTAGACAGAATATCCCTCATAGAAAGTTACCATACAAGGAAAACTTGATGCTGCGTTACAGCATACCCATTTATGTTTTTAAAACTTAAAATTCAAGAAATGTTTTCTATCAGAGCAAAGTATATCTTCAAAGCTACAAGGATATTACCTTTCTCTTCCCTCCCATTTTTTTTTCTTCCTAGACAACATAACATGGGGACTTAGTTATCAAGATGCAATTAATCCTTCCTATAAGTAAAAAAATCCACATTAACAACTTACCTGACTTTTAGCTGCATTTCCAATGGCTCGAGTTCTTGATCCCAAAGATATACAGGCCCTAAATAAGACATAAGCAAAAAATTATTCCCATTTAAAAAAAATTTTTTTTAAGATTTATTTTTATTGGAAAGTCAGACATACAGAGAGGAAGAAAGACACAGAGGAAGATCTTCTGTCCGATGATTCACTCCCCAAGTGAGCGCAACGGCCAATGCTATGCCCAGTCCGAAGCCAGGATCCAGGAACTTCTTTCAGGTCTCCCACATGGGTGCAGGGTCCCAAAGCTTTGGGTCGTCCTGGACTGCTTTCCCAGCCCACAAGCAGGGAGCTGGATAGGCAGTGGAGCTGTTGGGATTAGGACTGGCGCCCATATGGGATCCCGGGGTGTTCAAGGCGAGGACTTTCAGCCGCTAGGCCACGCCGCCAGGCCTGTTTCTTTTTTTCTTTTAAGATTTATTTATTTTTATTGCAAAGTCAGATATACAGAGAGGAGGAGAGACAGAGAGGAAGATGTTCTGTCTGATGATTCACTCCCCAAGTGACCGCAACAGCCAGTGCTGTGCCGATCCGGAGCCGGGAACTAGGATCCTCCTCCAGGTTTCCCACGTGGGTGCAGGGTCCCAAGGCTTTGGGAGCTGGATGGGAAGTGGAGCTGCTGGGATTAGAATCTGTGCCCATATGGGATCCCGGCACGTTCAAGGCAAGGACCTTAGCTGCTAGGCCACGCCACCAGGCCCTCCCATGGTATTTTTATACTGCTATTTCCCTACTTCTCCTTATAAAAAGAGATATATGGTTTAACATATTATTTTTAAAATAGGCTATGCAAACCAACATTGTGTATATTTTTATTTTTACAACATTTGCATTTGATTTCAGAAAAACAGGAATGGGGGAAAGAGAATGAAAGAGATTTCTTCCATACACTAGTTCACTCCACAGTTACATGCAATAGCCAGAGCTGGGTCAAATTGAAGCCAATAGCTAGAACTCATTTTGGGAGTCCCATGTGGCTGGCAGAAACCCAAGAACTTTCTGCTTCCTAGCATATGCATTTGCAGGAAGCTGGAATGGACACAGACTGTCTAGCACTTGAGCCAAGCATTCTCATGCAAAGCAAGTGCTCCAAGTAGTGTCTTAACCCTTGAACAAACTAACATACTGTCCACTTAACATATCTTTAAACTTTCCTTAATAAACTGGTGATCAGAATAAACATGAAATTTTTTAAGCATTCTAATAGCTGACAATACTATGCTGTGTTTTTGTAGAAATAACTGCCTCAGTAAGGCAGGGCTACTCTAATTCATCCCCAACTCAGCCTATTTAACGGTAGAGAAATCATGTGAAAATGACATAATCATCATTTATACTCAGGTTTACACCTGGAAGCAATGATAATACCTTCCCACAGGGTTTGTGCAGATTAAATGGGAAACAAGCATCTGTTTTACATGATAGCCAAAACATAAAAAGATAATACAGGGACTGGTGGTGTGGCATAGTGAATTAAGTATCCACCTGCAGTGCCAGCACCCCTTATGGGTACTGGTTCAAGTCTTGGCTGCTCTCCTTCAGATCTAGCTGTCTGCTAATGTGACTCCGAGAGTAGCAGAGGATGGTTCAAGTCCTTGGCTGCCTGCTCCCACGTGGGAGACCCGGAAGAAAATTCCCGACTCCTGGCTTTTGACCAGCCCAGCTCTGGCTGTTGTGACCCTTCGGGGGAGTGAACCAGAAGACAGAATATCTTTCTTTCTCTGTGTCTCCTCTCTCTGTAACTCTGCTCTTTCAAGTAAAAATCTTTTTTTAAAAAAAATTATATAAATATCCACTATTTTATTAAAAGTATAAATTTTCATCAAAATGTATTGATGCAAGAAAATGTTTCTATGATTTCAGTTACAACTACAGGAAACAATATAGACATTTAAAGGCATGGTGCTTATACACAACACACTTTTTGGTTCATGGAAAATTTATAATCTGGCAGAATCAACATATAGACTATATAGCATCATGCATGACATTAACAGTAAAAAATCACTTTTAAATGAGGACTTTGAAAAAATAAGAGGTAATTTCTAAATTAAGACTTCAAAGGAGATAAAATTTCGTATTATCTGTCTTGTGGAAAGGCACATCCTTGATATATTGATACTTGACGTTTTAATACGGCATGTCTCCTGAAAGTTCATGCTCTAGAACATGCAATGACATTCAGATGGTGCAACTTTTAAAAGGTGAGTCCTTAATGGAGACCAAAAGATTACAGGAAAGCACCTTCAGAAAGAACTAAGCCCTATCTCTCAGAAGTGTGTTAGATCCCCTGTGACCAGATTAGCTCTCCTGCTGTGTGCAGCTGATTGCCTCCCCACTTCTCCAGTGGCCAGCTGATCTTATCTGTTAGAATCATCTAACCACAAGAACTGCGAGAGAAATAATTCTCTAAGTTATCCATATTCTCTAATAGCTTGCCATAGCAACACAAAATAGGATAAGGCAGGTAGATTTTCTCAACATTGACATTCAAAGTCATCTTCTAGACCATGAAACTGCTATGCAAAAGAACCCTCCAACAGTGCCGCAAATCACAAGTTATTCCAAGAACCACTAAAGCCCTTCATGATCTGGTCAAGGGCTGCTTTTCACAGGAGGCCCACCAAAGTTGTGATTGCTACAATTACATCAGCTATGCTTCCATTGCAGAATCTTGGTGCATGATATATTTTTTTTTTTAAGAAACAAGTGTTTTTTGTTTTGTTGTTTTCTTTTTTTAAAGATTTATTTTTATTTTCACCACAAAGTCAGATATACAGAGAGGAGGAAAATCTGATGATGATTCACTCCCCAAGTGACCGCAATGGCCAGTGCTGTGATCTAAAGCCAGGAGCCAAGAGCTCTTCCAGGCCTCCCACGTGGGTGCAGGGTCCCAAGGCTTTGGGCCGTCGTCAACTGCTTTCCCAGGCCACAAGCAGGGAGCTGGATGGGAAGTGGAGCCGCTGGGACCAGAACCCGTGCCCATATGGGATCCTGGTGTGTTCAAGGTGAGGACTTCAGCCGCTAGGCCACATTGCAGGCCTGGTGCATGCTATTTTATCTTTCTGAATACTTCTAAATATTCTATATGGCTTACACTCTTATGCTTTCAGGTTTCTGCCCAATTGGCATTTTAACGATTCTATGCAAACACACATATATGATTTGCCCAATCTCATTCTTCTTCACAGTATAGATCACCACCTGACATTATTTACCAACTGTATCATCTTTCCAAATGGTGAACTCCATCAAGGTAATATATCCCCACTACCTTAACTTGCAGTATCCAATATGGGAGCCACCAGGCATAGCTGACAAGCAAAATTTAAATTGACTGAAAAATTGAGTCCCTCTGGACAAGTTACATTTTGAGTTTATAAAGAATAAAATCTACATAGAACACAACAGATACACAGAACAGTGCTTTTCTACCAAAAAGCACTGGTCCTCATCATTGTCTAGTACACAGTGAAGGTACTTAGCAAATAGAATGATGACTCCCAAGGATAATGCCTATTTGGAGACTAGGAATAACACACCCTGGCTAGCTTCGCATGGCAATCTGTTAAAACAATCAGGCCATATCACATAGGATCTCATAGTCCGGGTTATAAATTTAATACTTATTCAGTAGATAATGAGACTTCATTAAATATTTCTAAGTAATGCAGAAGATATTATATGTTAACATGTAGTACAAACTGGAAAGGATTGAACAAATCACTGTTAAGTGGGGAATTAATAGATTTTCCTTTATTTTTATTTTTTTTAAGATTTATTTTTTATTGGAAAGTCAGATATACAGAGAGGAGGAGAGACAGAGAGGAAGATCTTCTGTCCAATGATTCACTCCCCAAGTGAGCGCAACAGCTGATGCCCAGTCCGAAGTCAGGATCCAGGAACTTCTTTCAGGTCTCCCACATGGGTGCAGGGTCCCAAAGCTTTGGATCGTCCTGGACTGCTTTCCCAGGCCACAAGCAGGGAGCTGGATGGGAAGTGGAGCTGCTGGGATTAGAACCGGCACCCATATGGGATCCTGGGGCGTACAAGGTGAGGACTTTTAGCCGCTAGGCCACGCCACCGGGCCCGGAATTAATAGATATTCATGGAAAGTAAACCAGTTAAAAAATTCATTCAGTAGATTTAATAAGTGTTTATTGACTATGTACAAAATTCTGATGAGTCGTTAAAGACAATGAGGGACAAAAAAGAGATACGATTTTGTGCCTCTTGGATTTACAATGCTGGAGACTCATACATATGAAGGTAAACTAGGTTCCGGAATAGAGTATGCTACAGAGTATAGAACAAAGGAAGAAAGTCAGGAAAGGTTCACCAAGGGAAATTGATGAGATCTGACAGAAGAGTAAATGAAGATGGGATAGAAACGATAGTTTGTTGAAGATCAGTTTAACTACTGTTAGACCTGATGAGAGCATACATCAGAGATTTTTATCAGGAGAGTGGCAGCTGACACAGAAGGCAGAAATAAGATATATCTAGGAGGTAAAAGTCAAAAGACTTGGTAATAGATTTTCATTGTTCAACACAGTAGTCACATTATGGATTTTTAGCATATTCAATATGACTAGCTTGAAATGAGAATGTTTACTAGAAATACAAAATATACCCTGAATTTTGAAGATTTAATATTTTAAAAACAAAACATCTTGTTAAAAACTGTGAAAATAAGATTTTGTATATATTAGCCTGGTACGGTAGCCTAGTGGCTAAGGTCCTCACCTTGCACATGAAGGATCCCATATGGGTGCCAGTTTATATCCCAGTATCCCTGCTTCCCACCCAGCTTCCTCCTTGTAGCCTGGGAAATGAGAAGAGGACAGCCCAAAGCCTTGGGATCCTGCACCACATGGGAGTTCTGGAAGAGGCTTCTGGTTTTTGGCTTCGGATCAGCTCTGGCTATTGTGGCCACTTGGGGAGTGAATCAACAGATGCAAGATCTTCCATGTCTTTCCTCCTCTGTATATATGACTTTCCAATAAAAAATCAATTTAAAAA